TTGCAAGAAAATCATAAAAAATTGTAAAAAAAAACATACCAGGGCACCAAATTTTTCTTAAATTTATGACTAAAATTTTTATTTTTTGGTTTTTGAAATAACGGGATCATATTACCCGTCTCAAAATCTATAATATAAGCATAACAGAACATAAAATGTTTATTTGTTTTTAAGAAAGCCGGTGGGTTTTGCATATTTTTTGAAGAACACTATTTTTCACCAATTTTTTCAAGATCAAAAATTAATTGTGGGAACATGGCAATATTTTTCCTTAAAAGAGAATTTAATAAACTTTCCAACCCAATTTGATTCATATCAAAATGCTGCTTCTACCGGAAGCGCCACGCCCCTTTTTGCAAACTCGTTTTTACATTCCCTCCTATAAGCACCTACCATTGGTATGTCTGCATACCAAATTTCAAGTTCGTGAGACTTATGGTTCCGAAGTTATAGCTGATAAAAAATTCCGCGCCTATTGGATGTGCCACGCCCCCTTTTACAAACACGTTTATATATACATTCGTATAAGCACCTACCATTGATATGTCTGCATACCAAATTTCAAGTTCGTGTGACTTATGGTTCCGAGGTTATAGCTGATAAAAAATGCCACGCCTATGGGATGTGCCACACCCCCTCTTACAAACTCGTTTATACATTCCCACCTATAAGCACCCACCATTGATATGTCTGCATACCAAATTTCAAGTTTGTGGGACTTATGGTTCCGAAGTTATAGCTGATAAAAAATTCCACGCCTATGGGATGTGCCACGCCCCCTTTTACAAACTCGTTTATACATTCCCTCCTATAAGCACCTGCCATTAATATGTCTGCATACTAAATTTCAAGTTCGTGGGACTTATGGTTCCGAAGTTATAGCTGATAAAATATTCCACGCCTATGGGATGTGCCACGCCCCCTTTTACAAACTCGTTTATTTCTACCCTCCTATAAGCACCTACCATTGATATGTCTGCATACCAAATTTCAAGTTCGTGGGACTTATGGTTCCGAAGTTATAGCTGATAAAAAATTCCACGCCTGTGGGATGTGCCACGCCCCCTTTTGCAAACTCGTGTATATATACCTTCCTATAAGCACCTACCATTTGTATGTCTGCATACCAAATTTCAAGTTCATGTGACTTATTGTCTGGAAGTTATGGCTGATTAAATTTTTCACGCCTATGGGAGGTGCCACGCCCCCTTGTCGGATCCCAATTTTTTTCACCCTATTATAGGCCTAGGTGTCATGGCACCTATCATACTGTTTGTCATACCCTGTCAAAATTTTGTTCGATTCTGTCCGTCCGTTTAGACTGCAACCTGGTACATACATACATACTTTCACAAATATATAGTAGTAGATATCCTTCTCTTA